TTACCTGTTAGAGAAAAAATTCATCCGACCAAGCTCGTCACCGTTCGCCGCACCGATACTGTTCACACCGAAAAAAGACGGGGGTTTTCGCATGTGTATCGACTACAGAGCACTGAACAGGGTAACAGTCAAGTCGCGGTACCCCATTCCCCGCGCCGACGAACTGATCGACCAACTGCGAACAGCACGGGTTTTTTCGAAAATAGATTTACGGGGAGGTTACCATCAGATTAGGGTCGAACCATCGGACTGCGCCAAAACAACTTTCAGGACTAGGTACGGGTCGTTCGAGTACACGGTGATGCCATTCGGGCTGACCAACGCACCGGCGACTTTTCAGATGACCATGAACGAGGCATTTAGGCCGCTCTTAGATAAATGTGAGATCGTGTACCTCGACGACATCCTAGTTTACAGTCGGGATAAGCAGCAGCACTTAGCAGATCTGGAAGCAGTATTTAAGGTTTTAGACGAGCACAGATTACTGACCAAGGGTTCCAAGTGCGAGTTCTTCCAGGATAGGTTAGAATTTTTGGGGCATGTTATTTCAGAGGCTGGAGTTGAAATCGACCCAAAGAAGCTGGATACGGTAAAAGCGTGGCATACCCCGACAAACATCACGGAGCTGCAGAGCTTTTTAGGGTTCATTAATTATGTGCGTCGGTTCGTCCCCGATATGGCACGGTTAACTGCCCCACTGACGGATTTACTGCGGAAAGGGGTCGCTTTTACGTGGGGGGAGAAAGAGCATGCTGCCTTCTCTGCCCTGAAAAATGTTCTCTGTTCACCGCCCGTCCTGCGCATCGCCGACCCACACCGCCCATTCGAAGTAGTTACCGACGCAAGTGACATCGCCATCGGAGCCGTACTACTACAGGACTTCGGCAACGGCCTACAGCCCATCGCATACGAGTCACGAAAACTGCATCCGCCCGAGAAAAATTACCCGATACACGACCGCGAAATGCTTGCGATCGTGCACGCGTTCAGAGTATGGCGCTGTTACTTGACCGGCGCAGACGTGACAGTACGGACAGACCATAAGTCACTACAGTACCTTCACGCACAACCACACCTCAACCCACGACAGATTCGCTGGCTCGATTTCCTCGAGTCCAACTTTCACTACACGGTCACTTACAAAAATGGAGCCTCGAACATCGCCGATGCACTGACCCGCCCCACTGCCCAGATCCACACAATACTACTCGTCCAGACAAGCCCACTACTGACAGGCCTATTTACTGACAGATCCATTCTTCACAGGAGGAAATTCGCAGCAGTTCGCAGCAGCAAGGGGAGTCTATTACGTAAAAGCCGGGACTGACCGCATTTGGGTACCTGGGTACTATGGGAATTACTATTACAAGAGGCACACGACGGAGTTACCTCGGGGCATTTCGGAGTAGAAAAAACACGGCAGCAGCTTCAGCGGTATTATTACTGGCCCGAAATGTTGACCGACGTACAGCGACACGTGGCATCATGTCCCACTTGCCAGCTCATGAAATCATCAAGGCAACGGCTGGCAGGACAGTTGCAGCCGATACCACCCCCAGAGCGTGCTTGGCAGCAGGTGACAATGGACTTCGTCACGGGGTTACCGGCCGGGGCGAGTGGGAACGACGCGATCCTGGTCGTCGTCGATCGACTGACGAAAATGGCACATTTCGCAGCCTGCAAAAAATCAATCACAGCCGAAGAAACTACACGCCTCTTCATCTCCACCGTCGTTCGATTGCACGGGATACCAGCCGCGATCATCAGCGACCGAGACACGAAATTCACCAGCAACTTCTGGCGGAACCTGTGGCAGCAGTTCGGCACGCGACTGCAGTTCAGTTCATCATACCACCCCGAAACCGACGGACAGACAGAACGGACAAATCAGACCATGGAACAGCTCATCAGGGCCACGTGTGACGACCCGACCACGTGGCAACAGCAACTGTCACTAATCGAATTCGCGTACAACAACTCGCCATCCGCCACGACCCAACAGTCACCATTTTACCTAAACTACGGACAAGACCCGACAGTACCCATGACCCCGAATCCCGACAACCCAGTACCACGAGCACAACAGTTCGCCGAAATATTAAAAGCAGCACGGACCCGGGCAGCAGACGCAATAAAAAAATCGAACATCATCGCTAAACGCAACGCCGACCGCCACCGCAGACCTGTCACTTACCAGCCCGACGACCTAGTTTTACTTGACACTCAGAACCTCCGACTGCCCATCACCCCAAAACTCCGCCCCCGATACTGCGGGCCATTTCGCATAAGCCACATGATTACACCCGTCACCGCCCACCTCCTCCTCCCTGCTGACTGGTACGTCAGCCCCTCATTCTACGTCAGCCTGCTTCGCCCTTACGTCCCGTCCACGAGCCAACTGCCACGCAATCGCCCAGCCAGCATGACAAGACCACCAACTGAACCAATCATCACCCCCGAGAAAATCCTGAGTCACAGAGTTCGCGACCCTCGAGGAGCCCGAAGGATCGAGTTCTTGCTCCGCTGGAAGGACCGTACACCCACCGAAGACAATTGGGTTCCCCTGGACAGAATCGAAAACCACCCCGTCCTCACCGAGTATCTGCGCAGCCGAAATTTCAGAGATGTACACGCACTTTCGTAAGGAGGACCTCCTTAGGGGGGGGGGGTAGTGTAAGGAAAATTCCTTTTCCTTGCTTCGCGTCCCTGCTCAGCGCGTACACCACTGTAGCACCACAGTCAGCACCGTTACCACTCGCAACCCTCACATCGACAATCCTCCCGCCACCTTCGCACGTCGCACCCCGACCTCACGGCTCGGCGGGTAACCCGCGCTCCGGGCCTCCGCTTCGACACTTTTCCCAACCTCAGTCCCAGGCCCGTCACGCGACAACCACAGTCCATTACCGTTACCACTGTAGTTTCGCTATATATTCTTTGCTCATGCCTTCGCTCATTGTACTCTTGCTTCGATAGTGCAATTCTCGTTCGTTCACTCAATTGTACTCGTAACAATATGACTCGCTCCACACACAATCCAGACACCCACCACATCCGACCGAGCATCGCCCACCACCACTTCTTGAATCACTTGAAATTCCATTTTCTGGCAATTCTCCACACTTCGCTACGGTTAGATTCGCTTACCCGAACTCAACGCTGCGCCATCTGCCGCCGTCATCTGCGGTCAGCATGGAATCGTTTTCGTGCCCTCGCGTACCGTCCCCTCGTCCACTGTTACGCGCCAATGGCTCCGCGCCTTTGGCCGTGCTCGCTAGTAATTCTTCCGCTCCGCTCTCCTGCGGTTTCCGCGCGCAAATACTTCCTACATCCGCGCACCCCCTAAGCCTTCCCCCCTCTCGCGCGCTCGCCCCCCCTTTCGCGGAACCCCCGCTTGGCCCCGCTCTCTCCTCCGCTCGTCCTTCCGCTTCCCCCTGCTCTGTCTCCAACCCGCGCGCTCACCGCTCCGCCGTCCATCGGTTCGCGCACTCCTTCGCGCAGGGCGGCGCGGAAGCAGCCGCCTCCGCCGATGCCTGCGCCCGTGCGCCGGCTCCGCGGGCGGGCACGGAAACCTCTGCTGGCGCAAAGTGGGGGAAGCGGCGGGGAGTGACGGCGGGAGCGAGGTCGTCAAGAACGGAGATGTGGCGAGGGGGTGCGGGGGAGGGGAGAGGCCGCGCGGAAGGCGCACGAGAGGAAAGAGTCGGAGAAATAGAGAGAGACGGGAGAGGCGGGAGATGGGAGGGAGGAGAGAAGAGGGAGAGTCGGGAAAGAAAAGAGCAAGGGGTTGCATGGGAAAGGGGTAGGAGTGGGTATGACGGATCGATGAATGGAGAGAGCCGTTGGATCGGATCGGATCGACGGACTGAATCCAGTCGGCCTAGAGATGGCGCTTCGTACGGGAGCTGGTCCGGCGACGACCGTGAGATTTCGCGCCGTCGTTCGTCGCCTGTCGCAGAGTCGCAGCCGCTCCAATCAAAGGCGGCGGTCGTCGCAGAAGCAGTCGCAGAGCCAGTCACGTACGAGCCGCAGCTGGGCGACCGCGTGATCGGCGTCGTAACGGGCGTGGCGGGCGACGGCGGGTTGGACATCGACATCGGCGCGCGGCTGCTGGCGCGCGTGCCTGCGCGCGACGCCGTGGCGCTGTGCGCGCTAACGGCGGCCGGGGGAAGCGGAGGCGGAGGCGGAGGAGGGGGAGGGGGAGGGGAAGGGGGAACGGTTGTGGAGAGAGGCGGTTCAGAGGACTACGATTGGCTGGTGCGTGGAGGGTTAGCAAGAGGATAGGGGAGTGATTGCTACGAGAGCACGGGATGGGGAAAGGCTGACAAGTTGAGACATGGCTGGTTAAAACCCGGCACAAACCCTGAACCTCTGCAATCGCTTTCGCCCATCCTTTAGAGCACGGGAAAGGGAAATGCAGACCCTTTTGAAATGCACGCCTCGGATTGCTTCTGAAGTCGCCTTGGATCGCCAAGATCAAGTCTTCCATTCCCCATTCCGGTTCCCTGCGCTGCGCCCACCCGCCAGTTGCCGTGACCTTGTGAAACCCTCCTCCTTGCCTTCTTGCCTCCCCTCCTGCTTCCGTTCTCCCCATTTCTAATGAATCCCACTGCTTTATCCCCTCCCAACCCTCCCTCTTACCCCCCGCCCCTCCCTTCCCATCCCATGTTTCTCTCAACCCTAAACCCTCAACCCATTCCTTCTGCGCCCCCCTGTGCCCCCATGCCCGTTCCCTCTCCCCCGCCCTGCACGCACCGTGTCATCTGCAGGTGATTCCCCGGCCACGTCCACACCCCACCGCTGCACCCGCAGGTGCTGCTCACAGCGCTGACGCTGCTGCTGGGGCTGCTGCTGCTGATGCTGCTGCTGCTACTGGGACGGACAGCAGCAGTGGCAGCAGCAGCACAGGGGACGCAAATGCTGCTGCAGCAAATGCCACCCATGCTGCTGCTGCTAGTGATACGGATACTGATACTGATGCCGATGCTGAGACGGGTACAGATATGGGTACAGATGATGAAGCTCATATTGATGCTCATGTTACAAGGGAAGCCTGTGAAGCCCCCCCTGCCGCCTCCCCCCTTCCTTTCCGCGCGCCCTTTGGGGAGTTCAGGCTCTTGCGCGGGGCGCTGGGGGAAGCAGGGGGCGCTCTGGAGGGGGATTGGGGGAGGGTTGGCGCAGAAGGGGGAGAGGAAGGCGGGTGGGAGGAGGGAGCGGTGGTGGAGGGGGTGGTGGTGGGGGAGACGGTGACGGGGCGGCCATTGGTGTCGGTGCGCGTGCGAGCCATGGACATTGCTTGGGAGCGATGCCGCCAGGTGGGAGAGATGATACCAGGTGGGGGGTGCGAGGTAGGGGGTGCGAGCTAGACGGGGCGGCCGTTGGTGTCGGTGCGCGTGCGAGCCATGGACGTAGCATGGGAGCGATGCCGCCAGGTGGGGGGTGCGAGGTGGGAGGGCGCTAGGTGGGGGATGTGAGGTAGGGGGTGGGGAAGGCAGGCAAGCAAAGGAAAGAGGAGGCGCGGGTGTGCATGTATTTTTGCGCATTTCTCCTCTCTGCTGCAGCTCTCCCACTCCACTTCCTCTGCACTCCTGCAACAATATTTCGTTTCCAGCAAACTCCATTCTCTCCCCTCCTCAGCTTCTCCCTCCCACCCCATTGCCCTCCTCCCATTTCTCCCACCTCCCACCCCATCCCACCCCACCCCAACCCATCCCATCCCATCCCGTCCCATCCCATCCCGTCCCATCCCATCCCATCCCATCCCATCCCATCCCATCCCATCCCATCCCATCCCATCCCGTACCATACCATCCATCCTGTACCGCCACGCGTGCTCATCTCGGCCATCTCGGTCCCTCCTTCCTGCTCCTATGAACTGCCGTGGGCCCAGCGTCATTTGTGCTGCTGTTCAAACCAACCAACTTCTGTGGAAAAGACGCCTGCTCCTCCGGTGCTCCCCTCGCCCCTGTGACTGTATCCCGCAACCCACGAGGAGCCCTGCAGATGAGGCGAGAGGGCGAGCCCATCCGCGTCACCATCGCCGCCTGCAACGCCGGCGGCCTTGAGGCGCGCCTTGAGGTGCGCGGGGTGGGGCGGTGGGGGAGAGGGGGGCAGGAGACGGGGAGAGGAGTGGTGGGAGGGTGGATGGCGTGGCGAGCGTGAGAGGAGAGGAGCGATGAGGGTGTTGTGGGTCAACGGGCATGATGTCATGCTGGCATGATGTCATGATGTCATGATGGCATGATGGCATGATGGCATGATGGCATGATGTCATGATGGCATGATGGCATGATGGCATGATGGCATGATGTCATGATGGCATGATGGCATGATGTCATGATGGCATGATGTCATGATGGCATGATGGCATGATGTCATGATGGCATGATGGCATGATGTCATGATGGCATGATGGTATGATGTCATGATGGCATGATGTCATGAGGGCATGATGGCATGATGGCATGATGGCATGATGTCATGATGGCATGATGGCATGATGTCATGATGGCATGATGTCATGATGGCATGATTCCATGATGGCATGATGTCATGATGGCATGATGTCATGAGGGCATGATGGCATGATGCCATGATGGCATGATGTCATGATGGCATGATGGCATGATGTCATGATGGCATGATGGCATGATGGCATGATGGCATGATGGCTTGATGTCATGAGGGCATGATGTCATGATGGCATGATGGCATGATGGCATGATGTCATGATGGCATGATGGCATGATGCCATGAGGGCATGATGGCATGATGGCATGATGGCATGATGGCATGGTGTCAATGAAACTGAGACAATATTCCCGCTATCCCTACCCTGTCCACATTCGATTTTTGCTGTTCATTGTCCAACCTAAGACCAACCCGCGCCCACCTTCCTTTCTCCTCGTTTCCTCCCCCTCCATTCCGTCTCCCCCCTCCTCCCCTCTTTGTTCCTTCCTCCTCCCATTATCCTCCCCTGTGTGTCCCCTCCCCTGTCCTGTGTGTCACAGGGTCTGAGGGCGTTCTTACCGCTGCCCTATCTGCTCAACAACCCAGACGGCACCCGCCCTGACCTGCACTACCTCGTATGTCCTCTCTGCCATTCTGCCCGACTGTCTGCCTGCCTGCCTGCCTGCCCGCCCGCCCGCCCGCCCGCCTGCCTGCCTGCCTGCCCGCCTGCCTGCCTGCCTGCAACCCTGCCCGTGCGCCCGCCTGCCTGCCTGTCCGCACCGTGCCCTTTCGTATTGCGCGCCCTGGGATGCAGAGGTCAACGTGCTGGGCTGTGCTGTGCTGTGCTGTGCTGTGCTGTGCTGTGCTGTGCTGTGCTGTGCTGTGCTGTGCACTGTGCCACGCCATGCATGCTTGCTGCTCTACCACTCCCTTCCCCCCATTCCCTTTCTACCTTTACGCTCGTTTCTTCCTCTCTTCCTTTCATTCCCATAACCCATCGCTCTGGTTGATGTAATGGAGCTGCCTATCCCCTCCCTTTCCCTTCCCCATCCTCCACTCCACTCTCGCATTCACCATGCCCCTCTTCCCCTTCCCCTCGCCCTCCCTCCCTCCCCCCCGCCCTCCCACCCTCCCCCCTTCCTCTCCGCCTCCCGCTCTCCCCCTGGCCACCAGGTGGGGCGGCGCCTGTGGGTGATGCTGGAGGAGGTGGAGCAACGGGCAAGCCGCCTCATTCTCAGTGAAGTGGCCGCCATGGAGTACGAGGTGAGGGGTGGGGAACGGGATGGACGAGCCATGCAGTATGGAAGTGAGAGAGAACAACGTGGGGTAGATATATGACGTCGGTATCGCCTTATTTGCAGTGAAGTGGCACCCATGGAGTACGAGGTGAGGGCTTTCAGGCGACTCAAAACAAAGAAAACCCGTAGAGAGACAACTCTTGAAGTGTGCCCGTGAGCCGCTTGAGTTGAGTCGCATTCCCAAAAGGATGGCTCAAAGGAGAAACTTGAGTTGCTTTCCCATCCTCTTCTCACCATGCACCACCGCTTCCCTCATGCTCCATTCACCCCCCCACATGCCTCCCCCTCCCACTCCCTCTCCCACTCCCTCGCCTCGCCTCGCCTCGCCTGCCCCCCTGTCTGGCAGGTGGCGCGCTCACTGCAGCGGGGGCGGGTGGTGCAGGGCAAGGTGTGTCGCATCACCCCACACGGCGTCATGGTGCTCATCGACCACATTGCCAAGCGGTGCGTGCTGCTGCGAGTGGTGGGTACTGCTGCGAGCAGTGGGTACTGGGAACATGAATGGTGGTGGGGTTATGAAGGGATGGCCCGGTGTGTCGCATCACTCCACACGGCGTCGTGGTCCTCATAGACCACATAGCCGAGTGGTGCGTGCTCTGTTGCAAGCGGTGGGTACTGTGAACATGCATGCAGGGGTGTGGGGGTATGCAGGGCGGGGCACGTCCAGTCACCCCACACGGCGTCGTGGTCCTCATCGACCACATAGCCAAGCGGTGCGTGCTGCTCACTGCACTCTCACCATGCCTGCACGGCGGTGGGGAATGAAGGGCGGGGGGGGGGTGTGTGTGAGGAGTGGTGGGGGGTTGAAGGGTGGGTGGGAGGATGAGCGTTGCTGCCGTGCTGACTCAAGCACTCTCACTCTGCCACCCGATGTTCTCACTACAGCTTACGCCACCCGATGTTCTCACTACAGCTTACGCCACCCCCACCATCCTGTCATTTCTGTTTCTGCCCTTGCCTCTGCCTTACACTGTCTCCCTTTCCCCCTGTGCGCACGCCCAACGCACATTCCACCCACAAACCACCCCACCCACACCCCATCCCATCCTATGCCATGGCAGTGCACTACTGCACGTGTCCAACATCTCGCGCGTGCGGGTGCCGGCAGCAGAAGACGTGTTCAGCCTGGGCGAGCCCCTCACGGCCCTCGTCATTCGCAATGACACCAGAGGTGTCGCCCTCAGGTCCGCTCTGCTCTTTGCTGCTCTGCTGCCCTGTAGCGCGTGCTGTGTGGTTGTGGGGTGTGCAGTGTGTGGTGTGCAGTGTGTGTGTGTGTGCAGTGTTTGTGTGTGTGCAGTGTTTGTGTGTGTGTGTGTGTGTGTGTGTGTGTGTGTGTGTGTGTGTGTGTCTTACATATACCACTCTTCTCCTCATTCCCCGTTCCCCATTTTCCCATCCTCACCTCTCACGTCCCATCGCGTTGTCAACTAGACTAACCCCGCTTTTCCAACCACCAACTCTATCCATCCCACTCTCCACCTTCCCAGGCATTCCACTCTCTCGCTCGCTCATATCTCGGCCCTCTTTGCTGCTCCCCTGTGCTCCCCTCTCTCCTCTCTCCCCCCTTTCTCCTCTCTCCTCCACTCACCTCCCCTCTCCTCCCCTCTCCTCCCCTCTCCTCCCCTCTCCTCCCCTCTCCTCCCCCTCCTCCTCCATTCTCCTCCACTCTCTCCTCCCTCCCCATGCCTCATCTCTCTCCCATCCCTCCCCTACCTCCCATCTCCCTTCTCTCCCCTCCCTCCCATCTCCCGCCTCGCTCCCCTCTCTCCCACTGATCCCTCCGTCCCGCGGCACCACGGCAGCACGAGGGAGTTAGAGCCAGTGGATGGGCTCATGCTCACACACAAGCAGGTGCGGGGGTGCTTGCATGGGGGCTTCGTACAGGGTGGGAGTTGGGGCTTCGTACAGGGTGGGAGGTGGGGCTTCGTACAGGGTGGGAGGTGGGGCTTCGTACAGGGTGGGAGTTGGGGCTTCGTACAGGGTGGGAGTTGGGGCTTCGTACAGGGTGGGAGGTGGGGCTTCGTACAGGGTGGGAGGTGGGGCTTCGTACAGGGTGGGAGGTGGGGCTTCGTACAGGGTGGGAGTTGGGGCTTCGTACAGGGTGGGAGGTGGGGCTTCGTACAGGGTGGGAGGTGGGGCTTCGTACAGGGTGGGAGTTGGGGCTTCGTACAGGGTGGGAGTTGGGGCTTCGTACAGGGTGGGAGTTGGGGCTTCGTACAGGGTGGGAGTTGGGGCTTCGTACAGGGTGGGAGTTGGGGCTTCGTACAGGGTGGGAGTTGGGGCTTCGTACAGGGTGGGAGTTGGGGCTTCGTACAGGGTGGGAGTTGGGGCTTCGTACAGGGTGGGAGGTGGGGCTTCGTACAGGGTGGGAGGTGGGGCTTCGTACAGGGTGGGAGTTGGGGCTTCGTACAGGGTGGGAGTTGGGGCTTCGTACAGGGTGGGAGTTGGGGCTTCGTACAGGGTGGGAGGTGGGGCTTCGTACAGGGTGGGAGGTGGGGCTTCGTACAGGGTGGGAGGTGGGGCTTCGTACAGGGTGGGAGGTGGGGCTTCGTACAGGGTGGAAGTTGGGGCTTCGTACAGGGTGGGAGGTGGGGCTTCGTACAGGGTGGGAGGTGGGGCTTCGTACAGGGTGGGAGGTGGGGCTTCGTACAGGGTGGGAGGTGGGGCTTCGTACAGGGTGGGAGGTGGGGCTTCGTACAGGGTGGGAGGTGGGGCTTCGTACAGGGTGGGAGGTGGGGCTTCGTACAGGGTGGGAGGTGGGGCTTCGTACAGGGTGGGAGGTGGGGCTTCGTACAGGGTGGGAGGTGGGGCTTCTATGCCTGGGGAGTGTGGGGGGGGGTGGAGTGGGGTTCCATACCTGGATATGGGTGACGCTACAGTGGGTGTGGTGGAGTTGGGTATGGTATGGTCCATGCATGGGGTTGGGCGGCCATGCCGGTCTGGTTGAGAATGGTGCAGTGCAGTGCAGTGCAAGGTCAAGTAGCGGTTCCTTCCATTGCCCCACCTAGCATCTCTCCCCTCTCCCGTTACAACCTCTTGCACTACTGATTGCAACCTCTAAGACATGAATCAGGAACCGCTAGACTTCAAGAATGGCGGCACTGTTAACAGTGCAGGGACCAATGTCCCCCCTCTCTTTCCCTTCCCCTCCCCTCCCCTCCCCTCCGCTCCTCTCTCCTTCCTCTCCTCTCCCCACCCCTCCCATCCTGTCTCACCCCCCCTCCCCGGTCCCCGGCCTTGGTGTGTCTGCATCCTTCCCTATTGCTGCCCACAGGCTGTGTACGATGCAGCAGAGGAGATGGCACGGCGATACCGCCGGGACATGGAGGACGAAGAAGAAGAGGAGGAAGGGGAGGGTGTGGTGGGGCCGAGTTGGAGAGGAGCGGAGGGTGGGGGTAAGGAGAGGATAAGCGGTGGTGGTGAGAGTAATCCGCAAGGCGGCAGGGGGGGGTCGTCTTGTGAGAACGGTCGGCGGCAGCATGGGAGGAGCGCTCCGGAGTTTGCCAACGGTGGTTGGGTGCGCTTTGAGCTGTCGTAGCCTCGTGCGTGGTGGGGTGGTACCGTATTGCAAAGCAATGGGGAGGGGAAGGGGATGCATCTGTGTGCAATGTTTCAGTTCAGATCAGACCAATGTTGGGCTGAGAAAAGCCCTTAGGATCTTTGCAGGGGTGAACTCTGGGTAGGACTGATGTAATAGCGGAAGCGTTTAATAAAAAGTTGTGAACCACCTTGCGCTAGTATGTGAGGGCAAAGTAGATTGATTAAAGCAAAAAGATACAGGATTATATAAGAGTACAAGGAATACGAAGAGATACAGTTATAACTACTTTACTGTTGCTGTTGCGGTTCGATACAGTGACGACTCGGGCAACTCCTTTGTAGCGAGTCAGTTGTGTGTCCTTGCTGTCGTGTGGTACTTGTCAGGTCAAAGGTCGCTGACCTTTGACTTTCGCGTAACCTCTAGCAACCGCTCAACCTCCGAGGGTTGACTCGCCGGTGCTTCGATATACTTCGCTTCGCTTCTGACTTGGTGTTTCGACACGACAGAGGCGTTTAAGCTTGATTGTTTCCAACACTCCCCTTCGCTTCTGGAGTGTCGCTGTTGGTGACGTGGCTCTGTCCAGTCAGCAGCATGCAATACTCGAACTTCTGTTTTCCGAGCTTCTTGGTCAAGTAATCAGCTGCCATCTCGGATGTGGGGCAGTATGACAGCTCGAGTCTCCCCTTCTCGATCTCGTCCTTCACGAAGAAATATCGCATGGCGATGTGTTTCGTCCTGTTCGCGAAGCCGTTCTTGTTGGCGATGCGAATTGCTGACTGGTTGTCGCAGAACAGGGTGAAGTTGGGTAACTGAGCTAGCTTCGCTTCTTCCAGGAGTTCGCGAAGGTAGAGTCCTTCCTTGGTGGCTGAGCAGAGTGCTATATATTCTGCTTCAGCTGAGGAGAGCGCGATTAATTCCCGTTTGCTCGACTGCCAGGAGATAGGTCCGATGGGTTCGAACCGATAGATGTAGCCGGTGCGCGAGCGTCTGTTGTCGGAGTCGCCCGCGTGATCGGCGTCGACGTAGCCGATTAGCTTAGGCGTTGTAGTTGCGTTCTTGTGGTAAGTAAGTCCGATCGTCGGGGTGCTGACGAGGTAGTGAAGAGCGCGGTCGAGCCCCGCCAGATGTTCCGTTTCAGGCTTCTTGAGGTAGGTGGCAAGCTGGCTTGCAGAGTATGATAGGTCCGGGCGGCAGGTGACAGCTGCGAAGAGGAGGCATCCTAGCTTCCTCTGGTAGTCGCGTGTGCCGGCGGGCTTGAGTAGAGTAGAGCCTCCCTTGATGTTTCCTGTCGTGTAGCGGTACGGCGTGGAGATGACGGTCGGTGTGAGTGCGAAGCGCTTGGCGATGGTGTCGGCGTATTTCGCGGCGCTGAGATAGATCGCGTCTTCCTCTTCCTGGATATTGAGCCCGAGGTACTGAGTGACAGTAGATGAGACCGTGAGTGTGAGGTCTTGCTGCAGCTCCCCTTCGAACCAGGTTGTGACACCGTCGGTCGAGCCGATGTAGAGCAGATCGTCTACATAGACGATTAGCAGGATGTACTGTAGTCGGTACCTTTCGTAAGCCGGTACATGCCTTGATCGTGCAGTAGTTGCTTGAAGCCGATGCGAATGAGGCGAGCGTGCAGGTATTGTTGCCACAGTCTCGGAGCCTGCTTGATCCCGTAGAGCGACTTCAACAGTTGACAGACTTGGTTAGGCTCTCCGTTGGAGCCGTGCGGTAACTCGACGAAGATTTCTGCGTCTACAGGTGCGTAGAGAAATGCGTTCGCGACGTCGATTTGTCGCAACTTCTTCTTCTTCATGGCGGCGATCGCGAGGAGGATTCGCAGTGAGGTATGTCGGCTGACCGGAGCGAATGTCTCGGTGAAGTCGCGTCCGTGTTCTTGGTCAAAGCCACGTACGACCCAGCGTGCTTTGAATTTGTCGATGGTGCGGTCTGCTTTTGTTTTCACTCGGAAGACCCACTTTCCGGTGAGAATCGTTTTGTTCCGCGCCACACTGATGGGGACGACTTTCCAGGTGTTGCGCTCCTCTAGTGCCTTTAATTCCCTGTCCATGGCTTCGCGCCATTTTTCCTTATGCTCCCCCCCCCGGAGCCTGCTGAACTGTGGCAGGCTCCTTAGGAATGGTCGTGCCGTGGACTGCGGTGACGAGCCCGAGTATCTGGAGTCCACTCTATGTGTAGCGGGAAAGTGACATGTCCGCGGGATAAACAGCTTCGTCTCCCGCTTCTGGATCAGGTGCGAAATTGGGTCCTACGCGTGCTGCTTCGTCGGAGTTGACTTGTGCAGGTGTAACGTAACCGTTGTCAGCGAAGTGGTAATAGGTTTCGGCGTTGATGCTTTCGCGTGGGTTTACGTCGACGGAGCAGTAGGGGAGGGGTCCGGCTTCTTCCGAGGCTCCTTCTACGTTCTGCTCGTCCCAGTCAGCTTCGTCGTCTGCCGAGGCGAAGGCTTGGGTGCCAAGAAAACCATCGGAACGATCGGGGTTTCCTTCTTGCAAGTTGGCAAGGTAATACCGGAGGGTGAGGTTTTCGTAGAAGATGACATCACGTGCTGCTACTGTTTCCTTTGTCTCGACGTCGAAAATCTTCCATGCGTTGTAGTGTTTTTCGATGCCCAGGTGTAGTCCCCACTGTGCGCGTTGTGAGAATCGGCCAGCTCGTGCAGATGGAGGCCGGTACTGTACCATGCAGCCGAAGACTCGTAACATTTTTGTGCTGCCCAGTGTTCCTGTCCACAGCAGATGCGGTGATGCGTTGTTCGGGAGCGATGATGACGAGAGCAAGTTGTGCAGCATGACGGCGTGGTCCATTGCTTCGGGCCATTGGTGGTTGGGCAGGTGCATGCCACGTAGCAGCTTGCGCATGGTGTTCTGGAGGGTCCTGTTCATCCTTTCTGCTACACCCTGCTGTTGATGGGCGTAGGGAAGAGAGATGAGTCGCTTGATTCCTCTCTCTGCCAAGTATTCCTTGAACCTCTGTGAGGTGTATTCTCCTCCCCCGTCTGACTGGAAGCTTTTTGGTTTGACGCCCGATTCACGTTCTGCTACTGGAAGCCAGGCGACGAAGGCTTCGAAGGCCATGTCCTTGCTTGGAAGATTTAGGTGCCAGACGTATCGAGTGGCTGCGTCGATGAAGGTGATGGTGTAGTTGTACACGTTTTGTCCAGGCTCGCGGTTGTACAGGATGTCGCTGTACACCTTCTCGAGTGGCGCGTAAGCTGGTGCGCTTGGGTTGTGGTGAGACGCGAACGGTTGATGCGGTAAGTCAGC